AGCATACAACTGCCATACATAAATGAACTGCAAGAAAATAAAATATAGCATACAACTGCCATACATAAATGAACTGCAAGAAAATAAAATGTAGCATACATGCGACAAAAATAAAATGTAGCATGCAACTGCCATACTCTCACTACCATTTCTACTTTTCATATTTATCATTGTACTTCCTCCTAAGTAAATTGAACCTAATCTCATTAGTAGGCAAGGTCATGAACATCTCCCTTTGCTCCTTCTTCACAAACAGTTCAGTTGCAATGTAATGTTCATTGCTATCATAGCCGGCCCCACAAGCAATCACAACCTCCATCACTTCATCAATAGAGTATTTTCCATGTCTCTTCGAAACATATTCATTGGCTGAACTTGCCATACTGTTTACTGCTTCTTGAATTAGGAGTGCATTTCCAGACTTCACCTTCTTGCCACTTCTTTCAACAGGCCTAGCCAATCTCTTGCCACTTGCAGGTGGAGGAGAAATACTAATATCCTCCTCTTGTGTTTCAGGAATGACATCATCATCTTGTGGCTCAAAATTGGTTGCCTCCTCTTATGTCTCATCAACATTTTCAGTTGCTTCAACATTCACAACATGAGGAGACCAATGATCAATACCAATAGTAGTGATGTCAGCAAAACACTTGGCTAAGTCATCTTCATTCTCAAGGCCCTTCTTTATGAACTTTCCACAACCTGAAATGTCCTGAAATAAGCAAAACAACACATATTATTATAAGTATTATCAACAGATTAGACATATGGAAAACAAATATAGCAAAATTTTTGAACAAACTTACAGCTCTAGCTTTTTTCCACCATTCATCATCCATAGCAATAGTCTTCTTTATAGAATCCCAACCAATCCCTGTTTCCCTCAGCATTAGTTTCTTCCATGCCTTGAAATCTTCCTTCAACTTGTCCCATTTGTTCTTTATCTAAACCTTGGTAACCACAATTCCAGTCTGTTCTTTGAATCCTTTCTCAGCCTCAGTATAACCAAGTACATTCAAGTGTGTGTTTGGCCGATTTCCTTTTCCAACTTGTTTGGCAAACAACATACACAGCACTTGAATGTTCTCCGAGTTCCAATCAATTTCAGGCATCTATCGAGCTCACAAATTTCATATATTAGGTTCTCATTATGCTGAGCAATTTCAACTAGAATATACTGAACCGCCAACAGGCTATTTTCAGCAATCTAGAACTACAATAGGTTCTCAGCTGTTGGATTAAGGTACTCAGATTGGTATGCACTTGCAACTCATCAGTTAAGACTAATGTCAAATGCAAATACAACTCAAATTCAAAGAGATTGCCCAGCCGGAGAGCAGCAGATCAACCCCTTTGCTTTTTTTTCATCCGCTCAGAAACAAAGCAACATGAGCCATGACCTTCAAATCTAGGGGCTGGAGCAATGAAGCTACAACCACCATGGTCAGGGGCAGGGATACAGATACAATTAGCCAACTAGCCATGAATGTAATATAGAAATCCAGAAAAGAATCTAAGCATTGAGCACGTGTTGGATAGAGATGGAAGCAGACAGAACTGCATCATAGAATAGTTCATTCATGTAGCAAAATTTTTAGCTAGCAATGCTTCTGATTTCATTCAGAGAATGGATAGTCACTGACTGCAAGGTACTAAAATCAACAAAGCAGGCACCATACCTTGGGGGCCTCTGCGGACGGCTGTTGGCGGGCCTCTGCGGCCGTCAGTGGGGGGCTGCGGCCGGCGGGGGATCTCCGGCGGCGTGGGGCAGCGGCCGACGTCGGGGCTTCTGCGGCAGGCGGCGGGACTCGTGCAGACGTGGATGGAGGCGGAGCTAGGCGGTCGGGTGGGGGATCTCCGGCGTCGGGGCTTCTGCGGCCGGCGTCGGGGCTTCTGCGACAGGCGGCGGTCCTCGCGTAGACGTGGCGGGAGGCGGAGCTTCTGCGGCCGGGCGGGGGATCTCCGGCGTCGGGGCTTCTACGGCCGGCATCGGGGCTACTGCGGCAGGCCTCGTGCAGACGTGGCGGAGCTACGCGGCCTGACGGGGCTAGGAGAACGGCAGCAGGGCTCGGCCGGCCGGCGGTGGGGGTGGACGGCGGCCGCCTGTCTGCCTGGCGGTGGCGGAAACCCTAACGGGCGTTCTCTCGAGAAGAGGACAGAGGGAGGCTCGGTACGGGGAAAATGAGATGCGCCGGGGGGGCGGGGGAGGGGGGACTTGGAGAATAGAAGCGAAACGTTTTTCTGTGTAACCAGTGGCATTGGTAGGTAATTACCCACCAACTCTACGAGGAGGTTCAAAAGAGAGGGTTCTGGAGCAGCAAAAGAGGTGCTCCAAAACTCCACCTCTATTTACACTACAGCTCCATGAAGTTAGCAGCTCCATGGAGTTTTGGAGTTGGGGTGTTTGGCTTGATTTTTTGATGAAGTTACTGGAGTTTAGGAGTTGAGCCATGCCAAACATGACCTATATCAGCCTATCAATGCCTCCTTGGAAACACAGGAATAGAAAACCGTCACTTAGAGCACCCGCAATGGTATAACTAATTACCAACTCTAAGTCAACTTCTTTAATAGTGTTAATTTTTAGCATATAACTCATAACATAGATAGTCCTACATGACACTCTTCCATGATCTTGAAATATGTCTATGAGTGTAGCTCTTGATCAATAGCTAGATTTTCTCTCTCTTCGTTAAAATATAAAAAAACTATTTAGATAGAGCAACTCCAAGAGGCTCTCTAAATCTTTCTTAAATACTAGGAATATAGATTTTTGTGAAAAAATACCCTCTAATAGCTTGTCTAAATGGTTATCTAAATATAGCCATCTTCTATTTTAGATTTCTCGCTAACCAAAAATAGAAGACGAGAATGACTCTGCAGAGTGCGCATGAGATATAGAAAAACTGTTGGAGAGTGAAAAGATATATAAAATGATTTTTCAGCCAATTTTAGCCAAAATTCAACAAGCCGAACGGGGCCATATAAAACGATTTTTATGTAAATGACTCTCTAAATAATCATTTAGAAAGTGCGATTTGAAACTGTTTCTGAATAGCTAGCCAGCTCACCGTTGCTTTTACCAGGGAAAGACGATCGGCCGAAGAGGGAATATCGTGTCACATATGAGAAGTAGGAGGGGATGAAAACTAAACGAGATTTGTTAATAAGTGGGAAACCAAACAAGATTTCTTAACATGAGGGGATGGACCCTAAGATCTTAAAATTCCGTTCTTCCTATCCTTACACAATTCGTGTGTTTTCTGTTCCTTTTATTTTCTCGTGTATTGAAGACTATCGTATAACTCGTACAGGAATTTTATGAAATTAGAATAATTTTATAGGAAAAAACATAGCATCCAGGAGGGAATCTCATGTTCCCAACAATGCCCTAGGGGCAGTCCGTACTCACCTCTCTTAACTTCAGATCCTTCAGTCTGATCAACTTCAGATGACAAGCTAGGGCTATCAAATACTCCAATAACTAATGCAGTAAGAGCATCTCTAGCACAGTCTTGAGTATATGAGTAACCTGACCAAAAACTATGTTCTAGTAGCCCCTTAACTTTGGCTGAGCATCCAAATCCTTCCTCCACCCCTATGTTCCTGGGGCTTAGCTTCAGGCGCCCCCAAACCTGTCACTCTACGCTAGTCGCGTATCAGCTCGGCCTTGCATTCCTCCAGTGGCTTCTCTCTCGAAACCGCCTCCGCCCAACGCCGCCATCCGCCTCCTCCCGAGCGAGGCTGTCCTGGCCGGCTCCCTCTCCTCTCCGGCGAGGTCACCACGACCGACTCCCTTCCCCCTCAGGAGCCTGGGCAGCTCCCTCCTTAGCGTGGTAACCACCGCCCCCGACCATGGCGAAGCCATTGGACGCGGGTCCTCTCATGTATTCTCTCTCCCTCCCCTCCCCTGAAGCCCGGCAGCTCCCTCCCCCACGTGGCAACCATCGCTCTCAACCGCAGCGATTATCTCAGGATGAAGCCACCCGACGCAATACTCACGTATTATCTCGTGACAAAGCCACCTGGCATGGCGACGCAGTTCCTCTCAAAAGTGGAGACTGTCATTTTAGAGCTACGCAATACTCACGTATTATCTCGCGACAAAGCCGCCTGGCACCGCGACGTGGTTCCTCTCAAAAGTGGAGACTGTCATTTTAGAGCTCCTGGTAAAGTTGCTCTAATGAGAGAATATTGATCTGCTTTCGTTTTTATGTCACGGCAACTCAGTTTTAAGTCAAACATTAGTATCTTTGACCATCCATTTAAAAATCCTTATAGTTTCATGACATATTTTTAACTATCCATTTTAAAAAAAACTTATAACTTCAGTACATATTAATTATAATATTATGAAAGTATTCTTTATAGAATCCAATAATATAAATCTTATATCATGAATCTAGATATTTAAAAAAAACTGTGGTCAAAAATATTAATGTTTGACTTAGAACAAAATTAACACTGACATGTAAAAAACGGAAGTACTCTGAAAGGTGTCCAAACTGTTCATGGTCCATCGAGTAAATATTATGGCAATCCTCATAATCGTTTCTAACAATAGAGGATTAACGGTAGTATCGAGTATATAACAATGGAATGTACTGGGGCATCATGCATCACAGAACCCACTGCAAAGTTGACTGAAAGCTTAACTTGACCATTCCTAAAATACAATACAATTCTACAGCTTGTACAAAATTTGCCTGTGGCCACTACTAACATCAGTCACGATTGAAAACACAAAAACCAATGTATGCCACCTCGGATGAAGACCCATCAGTCAGGAGTTCAGATAGGTGCCTGCAGAACAAAATAAGCGTTTATTTTTGGGGAATGCAAAATCATCAATTGTGCAATCATCACGAGAATCAACATAACATTCACCACGCACAAATAGTAGTAAAAACTTATCAATAAGAATGCCCGTACAAAATACATAACAATAGCACAAATAACCACTCACCTGGGGCATAGGAAACTACAGGCTTGCAACTAAACTAACTCTTGTCACTTTTCTTCTTTCTTTTATGCTTTGGTTTGATAGCATCTTTTAGACTCTTTGGCGATCCAATTTCCTGGGACTCATCAGACTCTCCAGCAGCCACAGCACTTGATGTGTTCACCTCAGCATTAGATGATTCAGTCATTGGTTGGGCATCCTCGTGGCTGCTGACCTTGACGATAGTTGGTGGATCTGCATGATGTGAAGCAAATAAGTGAATCCAAACGAGAGAGAACCAATCTTGGCAAAATATTCTTCAAGAAAGATTACAGCAAGTTCCATATGTCAAATCAAAATGACTGAAAACTAAAGGATGACTAGAGACTGGCAGGAGGCAGAATTATAGACATCAGAATTTAGAAGGATTCAGTTTGTGTAATTATTTCTACCAGCCCTATAAAAAGTAGTATGAAAACATGACTAGAAAGTAGAAACAGGGGAAAATGACACGCCATAATGATGATATTTAATCATAAATGAGCATTAAAAATGCCAACCAAAGAATGACTCCAAGTACATCACAGAGAGGTGTTATGGAGAGTTAGCAAGCAAGAAGAAAACCCATAACATGTAAACAAAATTATACCCGGCATATCAGAAATTCTGAGGGAGCTTAATGAAACTCCTTTAGAATATGGATCCCTACATGACAAAAACCAGGACCAGTTGGCAAAAAACTTGTGTCAAGCAAATGTTTATGCTAAATACCTAGAACTTAGGAAACAAAACATCAGACCAACCACTACCAATTTGATGGGCCACCAATGAATGTTGATGTTTGTTTGTGTTTAGCAATTCGGTCCCCAGTCAAGGGTGAATTCCTTTTTATACTTTGATGGTTCTCATCACCTTTGCTTATCTGCTGAACGTCCACAGTTTGCTTTTCCAATTCACCATCACCTTTGTCCTCCATAATTACATCAGTGACACTAATTTTCTGAGGAACCGAGGTTGGTAAACGTTTTACTTTCTTTAAAGCTTTCTCGGTGGTGTATGAGTCTACCTGAAACAGAATACAGCCATACGATTAGTAATGAAATACAAAGCCAACCATGGAATGAAAATCATAATCTGAATAGCTTCACATTCCATGAAACATTCAAAGACATGTAAACTACAATAACTTAGCCATTTAAAAAGTACAGTTAGTAACGGGATTCTCTGTTCTACAACCTCACATCCCTTCTGGCCTTCTCCCTCCTCTCACGAAATAGTCAACCACGACATGTGGGCCCACCAGTACCACCTCATCCAGCACAACCTACGACTAGCTGTTCACCCTCCTCCCACCCAACAAATCAGATTCATCCAGTGCTTGAGGTCAGGATGACTGCCAAGACAATCCCCCAGCCACCACGGTTAGGAATGCAAGAGGCACAGGTTGAGCCAAGTGTCCGCTGGGACAGCGCGCGCTGCAAACCCACCAGAATCCACATTATGGCCGGCATAGTTTTAGCAGTGCTATGCGGCCAGCCCACGTAACCCAGCGGCGCCGCAACCCGCGTCTGCAACCCAATGGTGGAGAACCCTAGCACCAGCCTTCCGACCACTTCGCCATCGGCTCAGCACCCAGTCATCGTCCTCAGCCTTGCCGCCATCGCCGTGCCCTCTGGTTGCGATTGTGCATGATTCATCATCCTCATCCATTCCATCTGGGCACCAAATCTGATTCCTCTTGTTTCTTGCAGTAGCCCTTCAGATCCACTGCAGCCTGAGCTGGAGCTGCTGCGACAACCTCAGCCCCCTGCTGCGGCGACCACAACCGCTACATTTTTTGAGAACCCAATAAGGTTTGCAACAATATCATAATTCAATATTAAGTTGCACTTGTCTAGCCGTTGTGTTAGGCCAGTCTCAGTGGGGAGTTTCATCTCCCAGTTTCCAAGACTCAATGTGTTGGAAACAGTATAGATGAGTTTCATCACCATGAAACTCATTTCATCCCATGAAACTTTTATCATCTCTCTCTTCATCTATTCCATGCCATGTCAGCTCATTTAATGCCATGAAACTCCCATTGAGACTGGCCTTATTGGTTTATTTATTTAATCTAGCACTGTTTTTGTCTCAGCTAGTAGCAGCGGTTCAGTATGAACTATGAAGCTAGCAGAGACTTGGAGCTCTTTTTTTGCATGGTTAGTTGGGTTTGCCCCATATTTTTCCTTACAACTAGGTTTTCTAACTTGCTATTATGTTTTAAATCGGGGGGTGGCTACTTCCAAGAAGACAATGAGATGAAAATGTACATCACTAATGTTGCAGATGCTTAAAATATGTAAATATTGTCTCATTAGATACACAAATAACTTAATAGTTTAATTTATTTTTATTATTGTAATAAATAAGAACATATTTATCACTAGAAATATCATTGTCATGTTTTTTATTTTCTGATTTTTTTAGGATTTTGTTGAAGTATGTAAGATGGAATGTAAATTTGAGCAAGTTTGAGATGAAGTTAATGTGAGTGAATCTGCTAGCTATCTTATTCTGTGTCTTGTGGCTAGTGGTCAGCAAGCAGGTGTTGTTTTAGGTGTGCGCTTTCCAGTCGCGAGCTTTATGGCACTGTGCGAGCTGCCACAAAGCCCGCAAAAGCTAGTCGTGCTGCGCGGGCTGCCGCATATGCCTGTGAGCTCTCTCACGGACACGGGGCAGGCTGACCACCGCCGTCCCCTTGTAACCCTAACCACAGTGGTTCCCTGCCTCTACTCATCATTCTATAGCACCTGGCTTGCCCTGAGAAGGTATGTGCCACTACTGTCAATCTGAGATACACCTCTCTTTCCCCTCAGTTATCTCCACCCAGCTTTCTGCCTTAATTTCTTCACGTCATATTTAAAACACGAACTTGGATGGCATGTTTATATTGATTTAGCTCAGACGAGGCAGCAATATTTATTTGAATCCAGTCTAGCTCAATTTAAGGATGAATCAAGTGACATGTTTATTTTCAAGCCCACAGAAGAATCAATAAAAGAGCCAATAATTGCATATGATATTCATTGCGTTGAAAATGTGAGTGCATTGGTTTTATGTATGGGGATCCAATAATACAGCTATGCATTCTAGGCCTCCAGGCAATGGAATTCAGTCCATGTGGCTGTTCATCGGACTGTTGTTACTTTGTGTGTCTAGCTCTATGTAAACCCAAAAGCTAATTCTAACGTTCTCTCCACAGCTTTCTTTTTTGGTTACACAGGCTCACAGGTCCTGCTAATGTAGAGTAAGATAATGTAGTGCCGCTAACCAGTTGATCATAAGGTAATTTGTGTCCTCCTCTGGAGCATCAACCTTTGCAGTAATTGCTTTGGTAGTTTGCATCACTAAATTTGCATCTGTATCTATAGAGTGGAGAAACTACTGCTATTAGGGAAAATATTTCTATTGTGGTTAAATATGCAAAGCAATCTGCTTCAAATGCTGATGTAGTATAGGCGAACATTTTCCAGCTAAGTAAACATGCAATGGAATCCCTATGTAGGTAGAGAAAGAATCTCTTTATGCAAAAGTCCCAATCAAATTTAACTATAACTTATGTCACATCGTATGCATGATTTGATTTGAACTTTGTTGAGAACCATGTAAACACATTGGCACCTCAGCTAGTCATCAATCTGATGGCGCTTACTTACTGCTTTCTTTATTTTGCTTGTTATATCAGCAGCCTTTACCAAAGCAATTCTTAAACACTGCATGATAACACTTGACATGACACCCTCACCACCAGCTTTCTGGATGGCACAAACATCACCATTTGAGTTAACTGTAGCAGTCATCCTCCCTCCCATTACTGCTTCTTCCTTGTATGTGGGATCAACCTGCACAAAAAGGTCAGTTACTCAGCTGAGGATGCTAATACTTTCATGAAAATTGGTCAAGAACACTTCAATCTTAAATATTGAGACATACCACAATGTTGCCTTCACCAAAATATGCAAATGTTACAGCTATGGGCATATGATGTATTGTAAGAGGAAGCGGATCCCTAACCTGTAAAATACATCAAATCAGAACACAAGATAGTTGCAGTGGTCAACAAAGCAGGACAAAAAAGCAACCATTAGGCCAATACTGCAGTTGCACACTACAGAAAATTATGGGAGTCATACAAATTAGCTCATAAGGACATAGTAAAGTAGTGAATCTACTGATTTATAACGGAGCATGACCTTTGAGGGATATATTAGCAGCACCATATATAATAGAGCACATTGAGAGTGTATGCCTACCTCAGGATCATGCACTGTAACTTGCTGACCATCGTCCCCACCAACCGTGCATTCAGGCCTCCGGAAAGTAGATAAAGCTGCCAATGCAGCGATGTTAGCTGCATCAATGAGATTCCTATAATGGCGATGGAGAAGATTAGAACTGCAAGTGTTTACAAATTAATTACATCAGTAAACAATCTATAACTCGTTAACCCATACCCTCCATTATCCAAGATGTGAAGGTCGACACGCACAGACCAGACATGCTTCCCAGCAACAACACACAAGGACTCCATGTCAACAGCTCGACTCTCCCTGGAAAAGAAATACAAACACACATAAAATCCACATTATAAGGGTCCATGATTAAACCCCTTCTGATAAAGTACAGAAACAAGAATCAGGAGACCTAAGGCCACGGTCGATGACTCGGCCAAGCTCAATTGCTGATTCCCCAGGACGCCCAGGCTCGAAGGCTGGGTCGGCCATGGGTGAGAACTCGGTGAATATGGCCAGCGTCCCCTCGTTCGGCCTGTCACGGTATGGCTGCACCAGCTGAGCAGTCACGTAGCCCATCACGTGCGTCTCCCCGAGCTGCACCTCAGACGAGCCATCCTCCCTGAAGTTAACAACAACACCACCAATAAAGGATGTAAACCTACTCGTCAAATAAACGCCCAAATTGCAACGCGCCAGAGCAAAGCAAAACAAAGCCGCGGCGGCAACGAGATAAAATTGCGGGCTGTCAGCTAGGGACGAGGACGAATCTCAACCCATAGGAGCGGAAGCGAGCTGGGAAAAGCCGAATAGGTACAGTGGCGGAGCTCGGCTGGAAAGTTAGGTGGGGCGGACGCTCCCGGCGCCAGGACCTCCCACATTGCCACGCACACGGCCAGCGTCAGCGCCGCTCACCTGCTCGCCACCACCATCCCCCAATCCGTCCTCCATTACCTGCGGGGCTGCGCCCTGCCCCTACGCTGCGCAGCTCGCAAGCGGCGGTGGCGGTTCCCTGATGCGGAGGGGAGGCACGGCGATGGCGCGATGCGGAAGGGGATCGGGGAACGGGCGCGACCGAGCGAGACAGCTAGGGCCGGCGCCGAATTGGGGACGGGGAGACGGAGCTCCGCCTCTGAATAGGTAAGACGAGGGGAGCGGCGGATGTTACCTGCCAAAGGTTATCTTGAGTTTGCGGAAGTCGAAGGAGTGGCGGCCGTCGACGCGGAGGTCGGACTGGAGCGCGCGCTCGATGAAGTCGCGCTCGTTCACCGTGGGGCGCCACCGGAGGTGCTCCATGGCCATGGCAGGCGGCTGAGAGAGCTAGGGTTTTTCTATTCTTTTTCCTTTTTTTTTAACGGAGAGCTAGTATTTTTCGATCCGCCGTGTTAGCTGGGCGGGCGGGCTGGCTGGCTGGCTGGCTGGCTGGGCTGGGCTGGGCTGGCCAACTCAAAAAATACTGTTTATCTGAAGCAGCCAGCAGTACTTCTCTCTCACATAAACGAACCAGCAACGATACGAACCAGCAGTACTTCAAGTCGACGAAGTCACGTTCAGCCGTCTTCTTTTATTTCCCTTTTCGTTTTGCCGTCCCGTCCCGGAGTCCTGTGGTCCAGATCTGTCCATGGAGGCTTGTGGTTTGAGAAAAGGGCTGGGCTAGAAATTGTGATGTTCTGCCGGGCCAGGATACTCTATGTCGGCCGAGGCTTAGGATGGGCTCATTTGCCCCAATGCCCGGCTCGGAGAGGGGTGGAGGCTGGGCACATTACCCGTTACATGTTACCCAAATCCGAAATACCCGGACTTGGATCCGAAATACCCGATCACTAATTCGGATAGCAACTCTGAAAACCCAAAAATATTTTTGGGTAATTCGGGTTATATGGCTGGGTACCCGAACTACCCGTGTAACCCGAATTTTAGCTTTTTTTTTAGAATCACTCGAATTTTAGCTAAGGCCGTCGCAACTCGCAAACTCCCCCAAGTCTTCACGGGCATGGCCCAGCCCACCACCAAGCCAGTCTTCTAGAAATGTTATCAAAGAATTGTTGTTTGTTGCTTGTATATTTTTCTCTAAGAAATGTTGTCAGAAAACTGTTGTTTATTGCCGTAAAATGCAGCCAAAATTCTACTAAAATTGATGGTTTTTATCATTTCGGGTATAGCAGGTATTACCCGAACCCGAACACAAAATATCGGGTACCCAAAATTCAGGTGATGCTGTTCTAGGACAATCATCGGGTAGTATTTTTGAAAACCCGAATTTCTCAAAACCCGAACTACCTGTCCTGAATTTTTCAGGTAACCCAAATACCAAGGGGTGGAAAAAAACATTTCTAGAAGGGTTACCCGAGCTACCTCCTACCGGGGTGCGTGCGTCCTGCCGAGGAAGAGAGACCGGCGCGGTGGAGGAAGAAAAGAAATAAGGCCCTGTTCGTTTCGCTGAAATTTGGCTTATGCTGATGCTTATGGTGATTTATTGTGAGAGAAAAATATTGTTCGTTCGCTAAAAAAAAGTACTGCTAAAGTAGTGCTGCAGAACAGGCTGCAAGGTGGAGAGAGAAAAAGCAGAGGAGAAAAATAGAAAGAAAAAAAAAGATATTATAGATATTTTATTTTAACGATAAAAAAAGTTATTTTACCAAATATTTTTCTAAAAGAGTAACAGCTTCACTAGAAGAGATGCTCATATGCAACTAAAGCCAACAAAAGCCTATTCACTAGTGAAGCTGCACAAGTGTTTTTTATTGGAAAAAGTCCTTTCGACCTCCCTTAATTTTTGCGGTTGTCTGATTTGCCTCCATTATTTACGAAATCGGTTATTTGATCCGTTTAAATTTAAAAAATGTTTGTTTTTGCAGCTTGACTGGTTTTGATAGTGGTTTTACTAACATGGTGACATGTCAGAGGTAAATCAAACTAGTTAAAAGTCTAAGGAGATAAATCAGACTTAAAATATTTTTAAAAAAACATCAAAAAATTATTCAAATATTTTATATGAAAAATAATATAATTAAAAATCATAAAATTTGGCTAGCTCTCAGAAAATATAGAAATTTTGTTTTAGCTTGGAAAATTATGAAACTGGTTTCAATTTTTTTAAAAAAAAAATATGCTCTATCTTATGGTGCCTAGTTTAAAATTGTTTGAATCTTCATGTACTCATTTTAGTGCATGTTTGTTAGTAGAAGCTTTATGGGTTTTTAGGGTAAGGCCAGTTACATGTTGAGGTTAATACTCAACGAAAAAATTTCAAAACACATCTAAGAAATGAGATTTTTAGTAGAAAGGAGTCTTTTAGGTAGGTAAAAAGTTTACACTAGAGTAATGTTTTGAATTTTTAAACCCATGTTAATTATATTCGAAACGATGTAGAAATTGACTTCTCAAAGTTTTCTTTATTTTCTTGTGAATTTTTTTTAAAAGACACGTGCGTGTCGTAGTGCATGTCTACTAGTAATAATAAAAGAACAAACAAACTCACAAGTTCTATGCGTGAAAGCATCTAGGCTTCTACTTATGTTTCGATGATTAATGATGACACAAGATTATTATGACTAACGTGTATTTTACAGAGACAAATTGAGTTATGTTATGATAATAATGATTGATTGGTCAATTATGGTTTTTATGCCCCAGTCGATGGAAATCGTTTTAGTTTTCAAAGGATGGACGATAAGGTTAAGGACGGACTAGTTCTAAGTGTCGTTTGACGTTGAGAGACACTTAGAATAGTTAGGACTTTGTTTTTCCTTTGGCTATACTATTAAGGGGGGTACGAACTAGTAGCTTGACTTAGGTGAGTCTAATATACTAGGTATGGTGGACACTTGTCAAACTTAACACTAGGTAGCTCAGGAATAGCCCAAGGATTGATTGGAGTCAAACTCATTCACAAAGGTTTTTGTTTTGGAAGTGAATGAAGTGTTGATCATCTGACCGGACACTGGTTCAGAGTCCGCTCAGTTCTCTACGTGCAGCAGAGCCTCAGGTATCGACCAGACACTGATGTAGAAGAGGACCGGACGCGCTGCTGGCTGCTACTATAGCAACAAGGCTTCGTTTCCATGCTGATCGGACGCTGGAGAGTTTTGGCCAGATGCAGGTAAGGTGAGTCCGATCAACAACAGAGAAGGGCCAGAGAGGAAAATTCATGACCGAACGCGTCCGGTGGACGCTGACCGGACTCTAGTCAGCATCAGGTCACTCCAACGGCTCTCTCTAACAGGGTTGCGCACTATAGCCGCGATGAACTGACCTGCGCGTCCGGTCACAGTGATCTGTGCGTCTAGTCACTTCGAATTTTGCTGAGTTGTACCCCAATGGTCATGTTCTGTAGTGGGGGTATATATATTTCTCCTGCTCGTTCAACTTAGTTCTTTTGCTCATTTGTTCAGCTGAGAAAACATTTTAGAGTGCAAGGGAGAGTAAGAGTCTAGTTGGGTGATTGAGATTTGAGAATCCAAGATTAAGTACCTCATTAGTGTATAGGGAGTAGCAAGTGTGCATTCATCTTTCTCATTAGGCTTGTCGTGGTTAAGTGAGAGTTTGTGCATGTTACTTTTGGTGATCGCCATCACTCAGACGGCTCGGTGGTGATTGGAAGCTTAGTGATCATCTAGCGGAGCTTGTGGATGAGCCAAGCCATGGTGTGAGCGGTTGTGGGCGATTCACAGTGACTGTGTGTCAAAGAATCAGCCCGTAAAGAGCAATTGATCCTTGTGCGGATCAAGAGGGAGCTACACCCTTACGCGGGTGCTCCAGTGAGGACTAGTGGAGAGTGACGACTCTCCGATACCTCAAAAAAACATCGCTGCGTTCCTCTTTCTCTTTTTACTTTAAGCATTTATATTTGAGCAATTCAATTTATGTCTTTACATTCTTAGATTTGTCATGCTAGAGTAGGATCAGAACATAGGATTTAAAACTTTTGTGCGGTAAAACAATACAAACACTCTTAGACACAAGGGGATGAGACAGACTAAGGGTAGGATTTAATTATTGAAAGAAATTTAAAATTAGCCCAATTCATCCATTCTTTTAAGCATCTTTTCCTTTCGACGTACATCGTTGTCTTTTCACTTAGCCTGGTTAAGAGCCCGGTATAAAAAATAAAAAACACTCGACCAGCCAGGCCGGGCATGGGACACGATCTCTTCTTCAAGGATATTTGCTAATATAAGATAGAAGAATTTTAGTAGCTAACACACTTTCGGACCACAGCTTCTCTAACAGGGGTTTTCTTATAATAACTAACTTCGCTCTCGTGGGGAATCAAACCCACAATTGGTATCAAAGCATTGTAAAGAGGCCAAAACGTTGGTTTCCTTTATCTTCAAAAAAATTAGGCATGTTCGCAAGAGGCTGGATATACTATATTTCAAGAAAAGAAAAAGCGACCAGATATACTATATGGTTTTGCTAAAATAATTTGGTGTGTGTGCGCGCGCGTTCTACGCTAAAGTGTCTCTTTCATTCACAGGTGCAATTTGCATGCTTGCACCACTTGCCACGCAGGGCACGATGCCTGCAGGCGGTCTGCACATCAGCATACACTTGGCACTAGTAGCTCGCGGTTGCAGCACCCGGTCAGAGGTCAACTCGATGCTGACACTTCACTTTGAGCTTTTCTTTAGTCCCTGTTTAGTTTGCAAAATTTTATAAAATTTTTCAAGATTCTCCGTCAAATCGAATCTTTGGACGTATGCATGAAGCATTAAATATAAATAAAAAATAAAATTAATTACACAGTTTAGACGAAATTCACGAGACGAATCTTTTAAGTTTAATTAGACTATGATCGGATACTAATTGCCAAATAACAACGAAAGTGCTACAGTATCATTTTTCAAAAAAATTCGCCAACTAAACAAGGCCTTAGGCTCCACGGATTTTTCGGCGATCTCAAATGTGTTCAGAGAGTGTGGAAGCACCCCTTGAAGAAGATTCATGAGTGTCCACATGGAATCTTTTTGATTTGGGATTCACGGTCACGACACTTCCAAAGTCAAAGTGTGTCGTTTTAATTTACAGCTGAATGCGACGGAAAACAAGCCTAGCACGCACGGAAGAGGCATGGTTTAGTTACTCCTCTAAAATTTACTTCTTATTATATCGGATGTTTAGACATATGTACGAAGTATTAAATATAAAAAACGTACCTAATGCAGAGAGCTCCCGCTCTGTGCGGAGTCTGGGGAAGAATGTTAATGGCAAGCCTTACCCTCGGCTGTGCAGTGCGAGGAGACCGTGACTCAAACCCAAGACATTCCGGTCACATGCGGTAAGACTCTACCGCTTGCACC